TTTTGCATGAAGCCCTCAAGGCTGCATTACCCCACTTGATTGCTATGTATCACTTCACTGTATCATACAGAACACTACATAAATGGGGTCCAATCTCAAAAGAGCTTCTTCATACCGGGAGCTATATTGTAAAAGTTCCTCCAAACTCTTATATGGTAGGTTAATAGAACAGTGTACCATTAAAGCTGAACTTCGGGCAGATATAAAAGACAAATACAGTGCTGCAATCATTATTACAGCACTAATTGTATTTTATGAAGCAAGCAGCAAAAGCACCTGAATTTGACTGGGTATCATTGCAGAGCTGGAGTGCGAGAGGAAGAAGCAGTATAAGAAGCTAACTAGGTCTGTGCTCATAGAAGAAAGCAGCAGAGTGACAGAGACAAGCTCATCACTGTGCTGGGCTCAGAGGAAGTGGGTGGAATGATGCTGACCATCAAACTCAGTAATCTAGCGCAATTTGTCAGACAGGCCCCTTAAAAAAAACTTGGAGGGTGAGGAAATGTAGTAACCAAAGACTACACAAACCAGGAGCAGGGAGACAAGTCACTGACTACAGGCCTACCTGTATTTTGCTGGTGCCATAGGGATGGAGATGCTGTCTGCCCCCTGAGCTGATCATAGCAGGGCACGCGCCCACAATTTTCTTTTGGCATTCACACCTTCTCCAAGAGTCTGGGTCAAAAGAGGCATCACCTACCCTCGTGCTTTTGTAGCACTAAATCCAGGAGGTACAGCACCTACGTTGCGACATTACCTCACCAAGACTTGGTGTATGGCATCACTAGTCAGGAGCCTGGCGCATACCCAGCAGGGATGTTCACTTACTGCCACCAGAAGGAATTACAACAGCCCAGGCCGGCTCACCAAGAGGGTAAGTCACCTCCCAGTCTCAGACACTGATAAAGGGGTTGGCCCAGACCTCTTTTCATCAGTAAAGAGGAAGGGACTGGGAGGGCAAAAATGGATGAGTGCCCCCATCATCAAAGAGGGCGAGGACAAGCAGGGTGGGTGGAGGACTGCAGACAAGAATCCTTAGCTGAGCCTTCTGCTACCAGCTTTCAAGCGAAGTGTCTCCTCCAGACAGAAGAAACACAATAACTGACCAGTTCAGCAAAAAGACTTTCTTTTAAACTGGAAGACTATTTTGGAAAAATTAAATGCTATACACCATGTAAAAGCTGTTTAATACTTACCTTTTTATCAGGCAGTGAATCAAACCTGTGCTCTCTTGGAGAGCTGTAGGTGTCACAAGCATCTAACAATTCCAGGTGTGTCTGATACCTAGTCCCCGGCTGAAGCTCCTCACACCGGTTAATAAGGCCCCATTCACACTTGCTGCACACATTTGTGATAACACGTAAAAAAAAAAAAACATACGCTGCGCTTGCAGTGAAAAGAATGGGATGACACACATATGGCAAATGTGAATAGGGCCTAAGTCACTGTGTCCTACACATAACACAGCTGCCGGCAGGAGGAACCTCAGTCCACAGCGGTGAAACCAGGAATCCAACACTCCTGGAAATGTCAGAAATCAGTGGTGCCCATAGGTCTTCAAGAGAGAAGATCTGACTGACCACCCATCAGAAAGGTTAGTATTAACCCCTTCATGACTGAGGCCCTTTTTTAAATTTTTGCACCCATGTTATATTCCACATTTTAGGCCTGAAAATGACGTAAAACCCCCCAACATTATATATTTTCTGAATGCCAAGACCCTATAGAATAAAATGGTGGTAGTTGAAAATTTTTATGTTGCGCAATATTAGCGCAACTCCTTATTAAACCCCAAAATTGAGTGACAAATTTAATTAACCACCTCCGGGCCGGCCGTAGTAAAAAAACGGCCGGCCCGAGCTCTCTAGATCTGAGCGGGCGTCTTTAGACGTCCGCTCAGACACGCCCCCCCCGCGAGCGGGAAATGGCCGTTTTTTAAAAACAGGCAGCGATGCCTGTCACCATACAAGCGATCCGCCGGCTGTAGAGCCGGCGGATCGCGTGTATGGGGTGCCGATCGGTCCCGTCCCCCCCCATCCGCG